GAATTACAAGCACTCTGGGCTGACTCCTCGCCTCAGTGTAAGGAAAGTGTAACCACCGACTGGTGAGCAGGCAATTCTTGCTGCCGATGGAGAAGATTTACATACACCTCCACACTAAAACATCCCAGTGGGAATGCAGAGCTAGATCTAATGACTTCAGGTGAGAATAAAGAAAGCTGTTACGTTCAGACCATTATTGTTCATGCTGCTTTGTGAATTTATTTCTTTAAATTTTCCACTTGTGCTCCTGCCAAGAGAGATCTATTAGACAGAAAGCAGCAAGAGTAAAACTTTATCATTTTGTTTCAAACTATAAAATAATTTACATCACATATTTTACTTACTTTTGTCTTTTTTTTTTTTTTGAAACCACAAACATTCCAGCATCACACTGTAGGAATAAGAATAACAATAGAAAGCATAACCTTTTGCATAGTATTAAATGAACAGACAGAGTAAGTTCTTTATTTACAGTTATTGTCTAGATAAAAAAATTCATAAAAACAGATGAATGAACATATATTAATAACCCCTAGTGGGATGGATTGCCAATGTACCACTGTATTGTTGTCCACAAATCTCATGCTGCTAAGTACAGTACGTAGAGAGCGAGCATTTATATATTGCAGGGAATTTTAACAAACTGATCATTTTGGTTTTTGATCCATTGTTCCCATCACAGAGAGGTCAAGCAATAAAAGAAAGGAATTGTGATGCACGACTTGTAGTTGAAAGATCATAGCTATTCTGCTTTAAAAAAAAAAAAAGTCTATCATTTATCATATACATAAAGCACAGTCTCTGCTCACAAAAGCCCAAGTTTTCTATGTATCTCAGTTTATGTACGTTTTACTATATATACACAGAATGCAGTGTTCATTTTCTTAACAGTTTTCAAGTCTGCAAATGGTACCTTAGGGAGGGGTACTCCTACAGGAAAATTTAAAAAAAATGAAAGAAAAAAATATGAAGAGTGTTTGAAAATAAAAAGGCAAACAGTCAGTGTTAAGATGCTGAAAATAAATTGTTCCAGTATTAACAGCTTCTGTAGATGTTCAAGTCCAAAGCTAGAGGCTTCCCTGTAAATAGATAACACTTTTTTTTTCTTCTGAATACGATATCCCAAATAGGCCATAGAAACCCAATACATGTTATACAAAGGTTAATCACCATATTTACAAAGCGAACAATCCTGACTGAGTTTCAATCACTTTGTTGCTAGGAGTTAGCTAAAATAATGATGTTTTCATGCTAGCTTTTTACTGTTAAGAAACGGGTCACACTATCTGTTGAAAGGAGAGTTGTCTGTACCGTCAAAGACCTGTTCTGTTGTTCAGTGGAAAGTTTGGATCAGAGAGCGAACTAAGAGTTGGAGCCAAAAACATTCAAGCTTCTACACAAAAGTCCGGAAGCTGGCAATTCAAGCTGATTAGAGCTTTACCTGGCTGAATAGTCTTGATGCACCCTGAAAACATTTTAGTCAGTTCAGTCTGCAGTTTGGCCATGAGTCTAATCTTGTTTTGGAGAGTTCTGGCTTGGTTTAGTTCTTGTGACTGCAGAGATGCACCACTTCATGAGCCAACTTTAAGACAACCAGTAACACCTTAACAAATCAATTTATCAAGCTAGTTTGAGAGTGTTTTTCAACACTTCTGGCGTAATCAATTGTGTAATTCAAAATGTCTTTGCACTGTACAATTATGGAAAAGATCATATGCTGAAAAGTCTCCAAGCAAACTTTATATTAAATACAAAAATTATTTATGAAAAATCTGTGATCCACAAAGTGCTTAGCATTCAAGTGGTTGACATAGCAGTTACATAAGCTTGTAAATTTTAAGTTATCAGGGCTGTTACCATCTTGAAAAATATTTTTCACCCTCCATACTGCAGGTTTCCAAAACATCTTTCTTCGTAGAAAGCTCAAGGTAAAATAACATGTTACTGTGTTACAGTATACCTTGTGACTACAGGAAGACAAGCTTGGTTTAAAAAAAAAAAAAAAAAAAAAAAAAATCACAAAAAACACATATTGAAATAAAATATTTCAGACCTAATAGTGCAGAAATTATATTTTTCTTAAAAAAAAAAAATCAAAGCAACAACCTACAGTGATTTTCATCCAAAATGCCAACAGCCCAAACTTCGCAAGTAATAAGGAAATAAACGCCTAAATTACTAACTGAAAATGATTAACACAATATATCACAATATTTTAACATTAGTTTTATCTCCATATAGACAAACCAAATATAAGTTATTTTAAATTATATTTATAAACTCAACTCAGTTTCATATAGTATCTCTCTAAAAATATTTTTGGAAGCCATTGCCATATGGTTAAAGAATGAAATAGCCTCCGTTATTGTATGTTGCACCAAAAGAAATTCAAGCAGATTATCAGAGGGGGGAAAAAAAAAAAGAGAGAACCTGATCATTTTGATTTTTATTTGAAACAAAGGAAGCCTGTTTCACCTCCCTGTAAGGATCACAATGCTACATCCAATGTGTTATATTTTGGCTTCTTTTGTTATTTACTAGCAGTATCTACATTATTTAACAAAACAAAAGAAAAAAAAAATCAGGCAGAAATCAACATGGTTGTAATAAAATATCCAGGGTGCGATATTACAGAAGTTTTCAATGAGCTGAGCTGAGCCATTTTTATACTACTTCGGCAGGAAATGCTTTCTTAACCCTACAAATAGTTAAGGATATTATCTACAGGTTTGTAAACAAATTACATTCTTTTTTAGGACATAAATAAGTTAAAATAGTCAGAGCAATTTGAGCAGAAACAAGGCAACATGCCAACAAAGAAACTTTATATATATATAACTATATATATATAGATAGATATATACATATATATAATTAATTATGTATATACTTATATGTATATATCTCTATATATAGTCTCATAAATGTTTAAGTTCCTCTGTCCAACTGGTGCAAATCTACTGTGCAAGTTAAGCTTTGCAACTTCAAAAAAGTTATTTAAATTAATCTATACAATTGAGTCCATGCCACACAAGCATTTCAAAAAACTCACAGACCAGTGAATTGGATAAATAGCCTCAGAAAGAAGTCCTCTGCAGTTCCTGCTTAAGGAGGGACAAAAAAGGAAATAAAAAGAAACAAAAAGAGAGAAAGAAGGGCCAGAAGTGTACAGTACATTCATGCAGGAGGATTTTTTTTTGTTTTTGTTTTTCTGAAAGGGAACAAGGAGTGTATGTAAATCAGCCATTCATTCTTTCCCCAAAACTACCGCGATCAACAATTCATTCACTTGTCTCAGAGCGAATAAGAGTTCAAACAGCTTTTCAGCCAGCAATGTTTTTAATATATATATTTATATATTTCGGTTGCTGTGGGGTTTTTTATTTTAATTTATTTTAATTTTTTTTTGCAGTGACAACTTTTCAGCTAAAGTGATGTCTCCAGGCTATGTATTGGGCTTCCTGGACTAGAAGAGGTAGCTGATTTACTTGTATCAGTTGTGAGATTTATTCCACTGTCGATAGCACTGTTGTTCTTGTTCAGCGAAGACGGTGGACTCGAGTTTTTCTTGAGAGCAGGGTCTTCTTCTAGGTCTGTGTCATCAATGAGTGGGATGTGGGGCTGGGAATCTTCTATCCTAAATTCAGGATGAGTCATAAAGTTGTGAATAGAGGTTCTAGATTCTGGTTTTTCTAAACCTTCATAGAGAGAGCTACGGAATGCCTTCACGACGCGGATCTGGGGGGGAGAAAAGGAAAGAGGTGTCAGAGGTAGCACCTTCAAAGGGCAACACTATGTTAGAGAATACTTTGTGAAAAATGTAGCATATGGTTAGGGCAGTGCAGGCAGCTGAAGTCCATAGTCTCTGGATGTTATATGCATAAACGAGTGGCTCAGTTATGTGCATTTTGAATATCTGTATCAACTGCAATATTAAAATAGATCAAGTTTAAAGCCATCAAAGAACTGATGGGAAGTACTGGTTAAAGAAAGCCAACGTCCACTCGTGTGGTACATCCCTAGTAAAAGACAAGCCATGTTAATTGTAATGCAAATGTAAAACCATGCATGTTGATAGTTTTGCAGTGAGTAAGTAGGAAGGCTTTTTTAATTAAAAAAGTCTCTTTTGTATTGTTAAAAAACCATTACACATAACATATCACACTTCACAAACAGAAAAGCACAGAACACAGACACAGGTGGATGGGTACATGAGACACACACAGGAGCCGAGTGTAAAAACTATAAGGAATATCAATGTTTTAAAGCAAAATCTAAATGAATGCAGCCAAGAGCACAAAAAGCCAAGCAGACAAAGTACTAAGCATAATCATGCTGCCACAGGGGAAAAAAAAAAAATAAAAAAATCACAGTTACCACATGAACAGAGATAACTTGCACACAACAACTACACTTGGAAGCCTGGATAATGTGAACATATTATTGTTGAACCAACTTTTATTTTTCCTTCATGCATATGTGAGGTAAACACTCGAGTATAGACCCACTGTTCTAGCCATTTAACTTTTTAATATATATAAAACATGGAATAAAATAATGTATTTATTGTTGGGTTGAATCGAATTACATTGTTAAACAGCAAGCTCTTTCATTTTCTGTGTCTCAGTCGGAAAACTGTAAAGTTAAAAGCTGAAAGCGACACAATTTATGCCATATATGCAGTCTTTAAAGGTCTAGGTGACTTATGCCAGGGTCCATCTAACGTCATTAACCACCTGACAGTAAGAACACAGGTGAAAATAAACTATAAGACTCAGCCCATTAGACTGTGAGGGACAGTGCAAATTGCTTTCCCAGTAGGAAATGAGAGGAACAGAGTGAGGAGCATTGGCAGAGTGGGGACACTAAGTCCTCTGTGGGTGGGCAAAGGGAGGGATGCTGTTTATATCCCAGTGACCTACCAGTTCTGAAAAGAAGTGAAAGTTTGTGCTGGTTTACTGCTGAAAAAAACATAACTTTTTGGAAGGGGGTGGAGGGGGCAGAGAGGAAAAAACAGAATGGCAAAATGTGATCTGTTTGCAAATGTTTCATGACTAAGTATGAGTTCTATCCTTCTACTTCCATGTAGTCCATGAGCGAATTTTTAGCATTTCTTAGAGGGAAGACCAAAACACAGGCAGAGGCAGAAAAGGTGCAAGCAGGCATCGTGAAAGCTTCTCCACACACATTTGAAATGGTTTGGTGGTTGGTATGTGTATCTTTTTACATGTAAATATATGCTGCACGTTATTGGTTGGCCTAATACACCACTAATTTCTAAAGCTTTAATTCCTCTTTTAATTGGCAGACTGCATTTTAGTAATGGCATGGGGCCACAGTGTTACAGCTGTGGGATCTAGCCGATCCTACAGTTGGAGTTGTCCAAGTCATACAGAATTTCAGCACACTTGAGAAAGAGGCTGACTTGTATTTTGATCTCTTTGACCTTTGTTCTTGTTTAAGTTCTCTAAATTTGGATATTCATCATCTTTCAAAACACCTAATAGCAGAAGTAAGTTACGTCATCTTCAGATACATGGCCTTCGGTCAGTCCAAATACTCTCCTTTCTCTTTCTACGTCCATTTGGTAACAGCAGGGCACAGCACAAAACGTGGTTCATGTGACCGCTTGTGCTCAAAAAATAAGAGGATTGAAGTGGTACAGAACAACTTCTCTAGATCTTGGGATACTAGAAGATTTTAGGAGGCTGGCAGAGATGCAAGACAAGAGGAAGATAGGAAGAATAAATTTTTCACACTACAATCATATAGTGTACCTAACACCTCTTCGACAGAGCACCTGGAATTATAAACGAGGGTTTTATGAGAGCTGAATCTTTGAGTTGTGCTGTGCTATGTGATGATTCTGTATAGTGAACAAACTGACTGGGATCAAAGATTAATTTGCATTACTAAAGATAAGATTTGAACTCATGGAGAAGAGGTGACATACTAACTCCCTCATTATCTACACCTTTCTGTCTTGTATTTTAAAGTGCAAAGTAATTAGTCTAAACGACAAAAAAACCCAGTATATTTTATCAAGGCAATCTTAAAAATATGTTACTATATTGCCCTGTTTTAAATCAGGAAACTTTTAATAACGTGCTTACTTTATATTATGGGCTGATAGGTGACATTTTCTGCAAAGCTACCTATTATTTCTGATATCTAAATAAAAAACCAGTCATCTCATTCAGTTACAGCTGTTTGCTATATCTTAACTAACAAAATAATTTCATTCTCTTGAATGCAGCCACTTTTTATTGCATAGATTTAGGTTCTATTTGCCAGCTGGATTCTTTTTAATAAAGGTAAAGTAAATTTTTACTTAAATAAAAAGCTTTGCAATTCAATATTATGCAGAATCTAGTGAAAGTAAAGCTTCAAGTCACAAAAAGAGTATTTAAGCCTCTACAGGTTAGCAAGGGAGGAACTGATTTC